ACCAGTAGCTTTTTTGTTTAGTAGTTTATTTATTATTTTGAACTATTTTTCTGATATTATTTCTAAGAAAAGATTTTGGTAAAAGTATTCATTTTCTGGATGAGGTTTGTAAAGATCATAGAAAGGTGAATTTATATCTATTAGAGTATATAGAAGTTCTTGAAAGTATTGTTGGAAGTAGTTGTTAAGAGATAATTTAATTTCTGAGAGTTGAGTAATTAAATTGTTGTTAGATAGAATATGGTCTAAGTTGATACTATTTTTTGGTTTTTCGAGAGTATTTCAGAAGAAAAGTTTAGAATTTTTAGTAAAGTTGTTGTTTCTTTCTTGTAATTTGTTTTGAATTTCTGTTAGTGTTTGTTCTTTTGTTTCTTTTTGTATTTGGAGTTTTAGGTTTTTGATTTCACTTTTTAAGAGAATTAGAATAGTATTAGAGTTTGGATTTACATTTAGAAATTGTTAGTAGGATTTAAGTAGAAGGGTATTATATGAGTATTTGTTTGTATAGGAGTTAGATAAGTAATAACTTCTTTGCATAGTTGTTTTTTTTCTTGTATTGAGAAATAGATTTGGATAAGTTTTATATAATTGCTTTTAAAATAGAGATCAATTTCAATGATGAAGTTTTTGAAGCTTTGGATTTTTCTAATGTATTTTGCTATTTGTTTGTGAATTAAAATTCTAACACCTCTTTGGTGATAGTCATTAGGTGTCTAGAAGTTTTAGTAGTTAGAGAGGTTTTTTAATATTAAAGAGAATTTTGTTTTTTTTAAATTTAGATGAGTTTCTGAGATACTGAATATACTAATTTGATTTTCTGTAATATAGTTTATTAAACTTTGTTGTTTGTAGTTTTCTAGTAGGCTATTTGTATTAAGTGAGTTAATTTTAAGTATGTGTATTAGTATTTTATTTTCTGTAAAAAGTATATTTGTTGTTTGGTTGTTAGTAGGATTAGAAATATTAGTAGATTCAAGAAGAGTATTTTGGTTAATTAGTGGTTGTTTGATTTTTGTTCAGATTAGTAAATTATAGTATTTGAAGTAGAGTTGAGGAAGGAGTATAGTGTGATTAGAAAGTGTTAGTTTCTTTGTATTTGTATAGATATGAGTTTTAGTTTGTGATATATTTATTGGAATTTTGAGTGGAAGTAGATATGATAGTTTTTGTAAGTGTTTGAGGAATGAATTGAGTGTTTTATTTTTGCTAAGTGTGAGAAGATTGTTTATTAATAAGAAGTTGTTAAAACAGGTATTTTCTTCAGTGTAAGATGATGTATTAATGACTGAAAGGAAGGGTGAATCTTCTGTAAAATCACTCACTATATATCTAGTTTTCACAGTTGTGCAAGAGTCTAAAGCCTGTTCTGTACATTGGGTCTGGCTATCATAAAATTGGTTTTCTATGTATTTAAAAAATATTTAAATTATAGTAAATAAGTATTATGTTTATAGTTTGTTAATTTTAACAACAGATAATCAATTATCTTTATACTCTTATATTAAATAAAAAATTTGAAAAGAATTAGATCATGTAAAATACTAATTTTAATTCTACTAATATTAAGTAAGCTAGCTAGCTAGCACTAGCTCAAATTATAAAAATTTAATTAGTTTTAGTTTATGAAAATATAAATAAACTCTTAGTCTACTTATTTATCTAGCTAATGAGTTAAAGTTAGCTTATATTATTAGTCTGGTAATCTCAAAATCTTCTACCTTTATTAGATTAAATTTTTTTTCAGATTTAACTTTAATTGATATAGTCTTATAAGAAGGTTATACTACTTTGCTAACTTAAAATTTTTACTATACAAATCTCTACTTATATATTCTATTAAGATTTTTTTGTATAATATTATATTATATTTCTAATTTTAGATTAATTTAGTACAACTTAATTTACAGAGATATATTTCTAAAAATAAATAAAGTTTACTATAACATGTTACAAAATCTAAGAAATTATTAATAGTGAAATTTGAATTCTAAATCTATTACATAGCAATCTAACCACTATACTAAAATTATCAAACCTTTTATATAATTTTTTTATATAAATTTATTATAGTAATTTATTATATAAAAATTATAAAAAAATCACACATATATGCTAATTTGAGTAATTTATAAATAGAATTTATTTTTTGAAAATTTTAACTAAATAATTTTTGATCCATTAGTCTATTATAAATAATTTTACTACTAAATTGTTTGTCTCTTTGAGATAATTCTAATAAGCTTAAAATCATTAAAATCTAATCACAGAATTATGAGATAATATACTATTAAATAGTGACACATCTAGAAAGTGAGGTTGATTGGTTAGTTATAGGTCTAACCAATCAACTCCATCTTCTAGATGTGTCACTATTTGATAGTACATTATTTCGTGATTCTATAATTGGATTTTAATAATTTTGAGCTCATTAGAATTGTCTCAAAGAGATGAATATTTTGGTAGTAAAATTATTTACAACAGACTAATAGATCAAAAGTTATTTAGCTTTAAAATTTCAAAAAATAAACTCTATTTATAAATTACTCAAATCGGCTCATATGATATTTTTAAAATAGTATTACTTTTACTCTAGTAAAGTAAATTCAATTCTATAACTTACAAATGATATATAAATAATATAATTATAAAACTATGTTGAGACATTTAAAAATAATATTAAATATTTAGCTTGGATTTTTAAATCATAAATATTTTACTATTTAAATTCGTAATTAAAAAAATATTTGGTTTTTTTTTTAACTATATTAATAAAATGAATTAAAAAATATCACTCTATTTATATATCATTTGCAAGTTACAGAATTGAATTTGTTTTGCTAGAACGGGAGTAATAACGTTTTGAAAATACACGATTTTTATAATAAATTACGGAATTTTTTTTTAATAAAATGATCGACAAAAATTAAAAAATCTTTCATAGTGCCAATCATATAAGCTGTCGTCAATAGAAATCAAGCAAATCTACATTTGAAAAAAATACCTTAACTTTCAAAGCTTATATCTCGATGAATTTTAAAGCTATCATGATATATTAATATTCAAAAGAAAGCGTACGATCTAAGCTTTCTTTTGAATACTAGATAATCAAGATGGCTTTAAAATTCATCGAGATATGAGCTGTGAAAGTTAAGGTATTAATTTTTTTCAAATGTAATTTCTATTGACGGCAGCCCATATATGGCAATACCCCAATATTGGACATATGCCCGTTATTGGACATATGTCCAATTGTTTAGTAATTTTAGTTATTTACAATTATTAATTTATTATAATTAATAAACTATTTCTTATGTCCAATAAAAATTACAATGTCCAATTAAATTATTTGGACAAATTAAACATTGTCCGAATATCCAATATTACGACACGACATTCCTGGTTTTAATTGTACAGCTTAATAAATCAACTTTATATTCACAGACTAAATTTAATATGAATAGCATTAGGTAATCGCAAAATAGGTATTTATGATTATGATCTTAAAAAAATTTTATAGTAAATACTCATTGTGAATGAAATAATTAGATAAGGATTGGACCTGGATAAAAATTGCTGTCATATGGTTACCTGATGGGCAAATCGTGGTTTTCACAAATATCCCGTGCTGGATGCGGCTTATGCGCGTGATCCGCGCGTGATGCGCGGAATAGAGATTACCTTGTGAGTTTCTTAAAAATTATGTTAATGCGGGCCGGCTGGCCTGAATTGGGGATCATATTAAAAATCCCGCGCGGGATCCAAAAATCACACGCATTTTGCGCGCGTGATCCGTGCGTGATCACACATGCCCATCACTACCTGAAGTAAATAGTGGATAACCCGGGTAAAGATTTTTTTCAACGGGTCCAATTTCTATAATTAGATAAAATCCAGAAAATGGTAAATTTGGTCGTGAAAATTAGAGCAAAATTTCAAAACCGCTAAATTTACATAACAATCTGGGTACAACTACAAGAATTACCTGATCAGTCGAATGCAAAAATGGTTGTTTCATTATAATGTTAAAGATATGACATAACACTCACTATTGATTGTGAACCCATCCACTACAAATCATAAAACTACCTACTATTAAGCATCATAAACTACCCACTGTCAAATCACAAACCAACTATTGATAATGAATCTAGACCTCACTAAATATTTACCTACGCATTATATTCTAATCAAATCAACATAACCTATATAACAAGTAAAGTTTCAGTATGTTGATAATAGAAGTTATTATAACTATCGTATTTAAAATAATTTGAGAACTTACTTGCCAAATAAATTACAATTTTTTAAAGAAATAAGAAGATATTGAGAAGCTTAATTGAATCAAATATGAAGCAAGTCATGTATACAGTACGCATGTTCGAGAAATAAACTAGTTTTATGGATACAATACGTACAAATTTAGTAAACATGGCCAAGCACTTGTATGTACGTACAGGATATATACATATAATTTTACCAAATTGAGGCAAAGCATAAAGGCGGTATTCGCTTTTTTTTTTTTTTTTTTTTTTTTTTTAACAAACAAGAGTGACTTATATTTTAAATAACTTAACCATCCTCTGCGAAGAGAATCTTAACGTGTCGTGCAACATACAAGGTAGGTTACAAAAAATTGTCGGTCTCGTGATCTCCAAGCCATTCGACTATATATTCAGAGAATTGATTATTCGGAATATAAAAAGTTTTAACGAAGAAAAATGTCATCCTTTGAATAAATTATCTGAATAAAGTCCGAATGAGCTTGGAGATCACGGGATCGACAATTTTTTGTGACTATTGCATGTGATTAAAGTATTTCGACTATTCCAATTTACATTTTAATTTTGAAATGTAAATCGAAATGTAAATTTATTAAAACTCGTGTTACATACTTTAAATTCATTAAATACACCAACGGCAGTTTCAATGAGTGAACCACAATAAAGATATACGTACTAATTTTTGCCTTATTAAACTCTACAATATAAAACCATATCGATATGTCGAAAGTAAAGCCAAAGAAAGGTATTTTGCATCCGTTAAAAATATGTTATACTCTTAGCAGCGGATTTGTTGAACCTGTTTTAAAAACTTTCAATTCTCCTATCCAAGATGTGACTTACGGAAGAGAATTAATTCCAATTTCTCCAGCTGAACAAATTTTACGTTCTGAACCTTATGTCCATTCCGAATATAAAATTCCTTTTCAATTTAATGGAAAGACCAATAAACTTATATATTACCAAACTTGGTCTTTGCCAACTGCAAAAGTAATTCGTGATGTTGATATAGTTTTCATTCACGGTTTGAATGATTATGGTGGTCGTTTTTCAGAAATTTGTAGCCCTATTTTAGAACAAGGTTTTCGTATTATTGCACCTGATTTACCAGGGTTTGGAAGATCTAGTGGGTTACATGCTTATTTCGATGATACACAGGAACTTATCGATGCTGTTCATCTTGTAATTAATCATGTAAAGGAACAGAATGCTAGAGAAAACAAAAATCCAAAAACAATTTTGCTCGGTGAGTCACTCGGTGGAATGATTGTCTTAACTTACGCGATAAAACATCCTGAAACGTTTGATGCATTTAACGTACTATGCCCTCTCGTTTATGTTTCTCCTGAGAGTCGTCCTGGCAAAATTGCTGAAATGACCGCAAAGGCTTTGGTTAAAACTCCACTTGGGCGGTTGCCATTAGTTGCAGCTCACCGTGGTAAATTCAGTAGTGATCCTAAAGTAGAACAGGTGAATATATTGTTCAACAATGTTCATTATGCTACCATTCCTTTTGTTTTGCTATACTAATATTCTTCATTTTTTAGGAATTTTTGGATGATCCGATGACGTATAGTGGAAACTTACGCTGTGCTACTGGTTTGGCTTTATCGAGTAATATCGAATGGTTGGGTTCAAATCTTAAAGAAATAAAGAAACCCTTCTTAGCACAACATGGTTTAAACGATCGCGCGACTGATTGTAATGGATCCAGAGATTTATACAATAAAGTTCAAACTCCAGAGGATCAAAAATCAATAATTTTATATGAAAATTGTGAACATCTTATGTTACGAGACCCTGTTGCTGCGGATAAGGTCATAAAAGATTCAATTGATTGGTTTATTTCAATGGAGAAAAAATTAAAATCTTGAGCGAGACTTTGATTTCGATATATAGTTGACCTTTTTGGTATTTCCTTTTTTGGCAGTTGATTGGAGTTGATTGCTGGTATATGGTATACGTAGGAAGAATCAATTATCGTAACAATACCTATTTTAAATATAACAGTTTATTTTATATACTTTGGGCATAACCATGTGGCATAAATTTCATTTTAATAAATAAACATAAGTATTTAATTTGAAAAGAATTTTTTTTATTTAATTTTTAAAAAAAGTATTTTTAAAATTAATTAGTGAGTATATATGTGCAAAATTAAGAAAATTAATTAAAACTTTTATTTAGAAGGTTTAAATTTAATTTTATATAAATTTTTTAAGATCGCTATAATATTCTTCTAGTGAGAATAATGATTCAAGCTTGGATTATTCTTACGAATGAGAGACCGAGAATTTTATACTGAGGCTCCTAATTGAGAAAGTTTAGATAATACTTGCTTAATTTCAATTATGGTTTTAAGAAAAAAGAGATTTATAAGCTTTGTAAAATATTTACCTTTTGTTAAATAAATTTAATTGAGAATTATTTAAATAGAATTAGGAGTAGTATGCATATTATTATGGCTAAAAATAGAAAAAATTGCAGAATAGGTTATTAGAATAAATAGTAAAAGTGATGAATAAACATTCTGTTTCTTCTGAACGAGTTGGTAACTATTCTTCAAAATCAGATTTCATGCCTAAGGCAAAATATATACATATCGATATTTGGAAACCACTACAGCAAAAAGAGGCAGTGAGCGGTTTTTAATTTTGATTATTTAGTAATCTGAATCAAATTATTTATATATCATTAGATTCATCTTACTAAGATGAGTATAATTATATAAATAATTTGATTCTGATTACTAGATATACTTATTTAAAGATCAAAATTTAAAACTATCTGCTGCCTCTTTTTGCTGTGGGAGTTCTCATTTTTTAAAAAATACTTAGAATACAAGAATTAAACAAACGACACAAAGAGGCAAATTTTAAATGCAAACATTCTTGAGCAACTTAGAAAAAAAGGTCGAGATAAATCAAAACCTCTTTATTCAAATCGCCTTCGTGACTACCGCGTAAAAAGAATTTATGGTATTACTGATACTGCTGGCAATATCATAAACCCTAACACATTCTGTAGATTGCGTGAACTTATGTTCTTTCCATGAATCATCCCTATTAAATAAATATCTAATTGTCCAATCATTATTTGAGATTTTATTAATACTTGATTACTTGGTATTTGTTTGCATATTGAGACCGGGTACTTGCGTAACCTACGGTAGGCTTTACTGGAAAGAGGCGTGTTAGGTTTGGCGAGTTGGTTGGTTCTGTAGGTAGGTCTTTCTATTATCCGGGCTCTTTCTAGTCTTTCTTTAACCTCAGCTATACCACACTACTTCGGATAAGCTGGACTTATAAACCACAGTTGTACCTAGTACGTCAGGTTAGCAACTGGACAGGGTATCAAATTAACGAGAGTCACGTGAGCACAGTATATAATGCGAAGAGTTTTAGGATTCTGGTTAAACGATATTTTGGGTAAGGGTAGTTAGCGAATTTATTTGTTATTGCGAATCAATTATCATATGTAAGGAGTCAAGTAATTATTTATTAAGCGAAAGGTGGGAGTTCTTATCCCTCTAGGGCCAACACGGCCTTTATTTATAATAAAAGTCTAGTATATACATTCAGATCTGACCTATTTGACCCATCTGACCTATCTGACCCATCGGTCCTATCTGACCTATCGGTCCTATCTGACCTATCTGACCTATCTGACCTATCAGTCCTATCTGACCTATCGGTCCTATCTGACCTATCGGACCGGGTAACCCTAATTTAGTTTTCCCGAAGTCATGTGTAGCGTGACTTCGTCGGTTAACAATATAAGTGTAAATAAATGCATTTTTTTTACTCATTGGATGACAACAGGTTTATTTCATTTTTTTTGTTTTTTTGCGGAGTGAAATAAGTTGATCTAATAAAATCCGCCTTACGGTGATGGGTAAAAAAATATTACTTAAAGGATCTGAATCCTTATTAAGGAGCGTAGTGCTTCGGCTTTACAAACAATGCTTTCCTAATGTTTAAAGAAGTATTATAAATATTCATCAATAAACACCAAAAATCCAGTTTCTCACTTTAAAGAAATAATGCTTCCAAAGTTTGCTTCAGAACAGTAATATCATTAATTTGAGCAGGAAACCTTAGTAGTGGTCCTTCAAACCCGAAATCCAATCCATCATCACTGCAAAGCTGAATATTGAAAAAAATTCATGATGCATTTACAATAAATATCTAATCGAAATAAATTATTTACATACCTCCTCTACATAGTCGATGTCACTTTTGATTACGCCTTCAAGTTCTTTCGGCTTTATGTTTATCTGTGCCAGAACTATAGTTGTTTGACGAAATCATCACATAGCCACGAATAGTAACATGTGAATTCACATGTTAATTGCACTAATATTATTAACATATGGCTGTGTGATGATTAGCATCACATAGTTTCGTCAAGCAACTATAGCCAGTACTTTTGCTTTAAGATCTGGTCACTCTTGGTTCTAGCATTTGTTAAGTTGGTTTTGATTAGTTATGTTGTAATTTTTGAGGAGATTCGTTGAAGGCTTTGTGCTATTTGTTCAGCGTAGTTTTTGATTTTTTCTTTAGTGCAATGTTTCCAAAGAAAACACTCACTGAACCATGAATGCATACCACTGGAAAATTCGGAAGAAAGGTCAACAATAGAGGAAAGCCCGAGCCTATATGAATGATTATTAAAGATTATTATTGCACCAATACAATATATGCAAAATAATAATAATAATATACCAGATAGTGCTTAAAACAGGTAGTTTTTTTCCTTATTGATTTTAGATATTTTGCTTGTTCGATGACCTTTGACGTCATTCAAATAAGAACATTTCACCATTCTTCAACCTCCATCTTTCTTTGCCTTCGCTTTCTGTCCATTGATCGAATGTAATTGCATTAAAATCGATTACATCACCTTCATCTGAGATTCTTCATCACTTTTATCATCCTCAAGTTCGCTTTCAGAGTGAAATCCAAGGAGACGTATCTTAAAATTCTATAAAAAAATTAAAATTAATTAATCTCAGATTGATCCATCCAATATCAGTATACCTCGTCATTTTCTGGTAAATTTTCTAATTTTCGCTTACGAGACTTCGAGTAGAAGGCATTAGATACTCCTTTTCTGTATATTGTATCCTCGGAAATATTATTCTCCCTGTTTAATATTTCGACATCGAAATTTTTACGAACGTTATTATCCTGCTTATATACTAATTTTTTCACGGTCACTTGTTGTTTAACCTAATCTGTAAATAAAGTATTCAATCATTTGAATTCAAAAATAATCATAGAGTTATAGGATGTTCCATGATATTGTATCTAAAAATCCGTATAGACAAATCTTTATATTTATTACCTTTTCGCACACGAACGCAGGGCTACACGTCTATGCAATTTTGCAGGCAGTTCGTCATTTGTTCCAAAATTTAAATTTACATTTGGGTTCTTTCACATCAAATCGGGGCTTAGAGACGAATTTTTAATTTGTAAATATCATTTTGATGCAAGTTTAATAAATTTGGGGGATTGCTACTTTCACCACTACACGAGATTTATCTCTCTTATCGGCACTGCGATGATCAACATGAGCACCCCAAATTTCTTTTAGAAGATATTTGAAATTTTTCTAACTTTGAGAGAGAATAACTCGGCAACCACCCATCAAAATTCAACAATATTTTTTTTTATTATTTGAATTTACAGAACTTGTAGAATAAAAAAGAAAAAAATTATCGAATTTGGTTGGGTGGTTAATGAGTTATCTTTATTCAAAGCCTTAGAAATTTAAAACGCCTATAGATTAGGGTTGTGAAATTACCGTAAGATTCAGTAAATTGGATTTACATGAAAATGTAATTTTAATCACATGATATGTAAAGTTTATTAAATTTTTCGTTCACTAATCGACCAATATTACCAACCTATTTTTCAAATTTCCTTTTTTGGAAATTGATGATGATCGCAAAAATTAGCCAATAAAATTATGTATTTGTTATGCAAGATTTAGATTCTACATACTGATACCGATACGTACCAATTTTGATCGTTATAACTTTCAATTATTATTAAATACACACGAAGCTTTATTTCAAATAAACATTATTATTATTACTATATTATTAATTAAAAAATTACACTATTTTTTATCTGCTACTTAACTAAAGGTGCAAGCGGAACTCGAGAAATTGTGATGCCCATACTATAATTAAGTTATAACTAGTTATAACTTTTTGCTTTAAATTACGGCTTGTTATAACTTTTATATATGCTGTAACTTAATTTTATATCATAACTTACCGTAACTTGCTATAACCTTACAGCTGTTTTCATAAATTCTGGACCACCTAAAAATTTATTTATTTCCTGAAATCTCTTCAGTTTCATTTTGTGAATTATCTAACTCTTCAGAAACTATATCACTGTCTTCGGAACTTCTGTTCAGAGACAGCGATGTAGTTTCCGAAAAGTTAGATAATTCACAGAATGAAACTGAAGAGATTTCAGGAAACGAATAAATTTTTAAATGGTCAAACTTTAAGAAAACAGCTGTAATCTTGTTATTGTAAATACTATTATATGTTTATTTTTATATCAATATGTAATTTATCACACTGATAAATTTTTATTTATTAAAAGATTTCCTGAGCCTACTCATTGAGAGTTATAATTTATACTATATTCAGATTTTTATTAAATGATTATTGCTATCGAAGACTGGATTTGAAAGATTGATTATTTCTTTGATCAAAAATTATCTTTATCCAATTGCATGCATAATTTAGGTTGATTAGATAACTATTTTTTTTCTTTTAATTGTTGTAAAGCGGATAATTGACATGTAAAAATTGATCAATGTTATAATTTAATTCAGATAATGGCAAATATGAACTATTGTAATTTAGAACTTTGTTATTTGTATTCATTGTAAAAAAACTTTTGTCAAACTAAATTTCAAGAAAATGATTATTTTTATTAATTAATTATTACATATTACATATTAAAATAATTTTTAAATTTTAAATTATTGATATAGTATTTGAGATTCATATAGCATTTTGAATTCATACAGTATTTGGGGTTTATACAGTTTTTGCTGTAACTGTGACCGTAACTTGCTATGCATTATATGGTTCACTAAAATAGTTCCACCTGCATCTCTATTTAAAGTGCTCTCAAGCAACTCTTTTAATATGATTTGCTAACTATAAAGATCGTGCACAAGTACTATGATTAATTAAATATAGAAATTTCGTCAAAGATTCATATTGTGAAATATAGTTAGTAAAATTTAGCAATTAGCACAATTCTATAATAAAAAAAGATAGTCTCTAATCATATTTTTTTTTCATTATGATAATGACATACTTGATTAATACTTACTAATAAATTATTTTCTGTTAATTTAAATATAAGCTCTGACCTTTTTTAGATACTTGAGAGCACTCTTAGTAATTGTTCTAGAAATTACTCACAAAAAAAAAGTAAACTTACATCATAAATTTATTACATATGACATATTTCAGTATATTACATGAATTATTAGTCATATTATTACAGGTATATGTAGTAATAATATAAGTAATAGTCCATTAAAATTATGATATAAATTACATTTTGTGAGCGATACTAGAGAATATTAATAAATCTGTTATACCCATTCATTATACTAATCATACGATAAAATTTTTAACTACTTAAATGAATTGTAATTCTAATATCTGTTGTGAAATAAATTAAATAGAATAAATAAATTATATTAATCTAATAAATATACTGTAATAATAAAATTTATTAATTAAACAATTATCATATTTATAAAGAACATAAATATACCTACTTAATAATCTCTTTTTATTTTAGTTCATAGTGACTTTAAATTAAAATGTCTTCTTCGAAGTTTAAAGTTTCTAATAAAATTAAAAAAAGAGGTAGTTACAAACTACAAGTAAAAGCAAAACTAAGCTCACATCTTTTGCTAAAAGAAGAAGATAGACTTAGACTTAAATATCTGCTAGATATTAGTGCACCCAGTGTTGTTGAAATGGAATAGAATTTGTCTTAGAAGTATAATATTTTAAGTTATGACAAATTTCTTCAGGAAAATAGTTTTAATATTGATCCTGATGATGTGCGATGCAAATAATCTATCTGACAATTAACTAAAACATTAATTGTAAAACAATATATAAGTGGAAGTTATAGAAAAAAAAATATTATATTTACTTCTCAGGCTACAATAACATGGTATCCATATGTAGGGTGTCTTGCATTTGCATTAATTTTTTTTCGTAATGATGAAATTTGTGGTATTGTAGAATACTTAGAACATAGTGAACAATACTTGTTTTCTCAGCTACAATATGATTCACAATATAGGCTCTTATCTTATGTAAAAAAGAGTGTAGAAAACCTAATAAATTTTAATATAAAAACTTCAGATATACTTGCTCAGAATGCAAGAATTGTAAGAAATGTGTTTGGAAATCATACCTTAATTGGAAATTTTAAAACATTGCTTACTGCAATGAATATTACTAATATTAAAAAACAATTACTACAAAATCAATAGAATATTGATATTAAAAATGATGCTGCAAAAAACTTAGATCAAATGCTTAGACCAAAAGCAGATCATTCTGAATTAAAAGAAGTATATCTTTATTATCAACTTCATATAAAGGAAAATAACTGTCTTGAGATCATTATTAGCACTCATAAACAACAAAAATATGCCTAGAAATATAGTCATCAAAACCTTATTCTTGTTGATGAAACTTTTGGAATTAGCAGGCACAAATTACTTCTATTTATTATCATAGTTATTAATAGCAATAATAAAGGCATTTCTATTTCTTTTATTCTCTTTACACCACCTTGATCTAATCGATTAACATCTTCTAGATATAATAGTAAAATTCTAGAATGACTTTTTATAATCTTCTGTGATAAGATTAGTGAAAATTATAATAAAAAAAATTAATCTCTAGTTACTCCAGTTCTATTTAGCCCTCATGCTACAATGACTGATACTGATATCAAAGAACAGAAGTCATTATCAAAAGTATAACCAGAAATAATTCTACTTTTTTGTTACTTTTATATAAGTCAATGTTGCAAAAATGAAATTAATAAATAATTAGGCCATAGTAGTGAAAATAAAGTAATTATATTACAACACACCTTAAAAGCATTTTTAAAAAGTATCTTAAATAAAGCTTGGTTAATGGATAGTAGTAAGAAGATAGTATGTAATTATATCACAAAAAAAAAAGAATCATTAGAGTGTATTTATAAAGAAGAAAACTTGTCAAAAAATAAAAAAATTCTAGAAGGTAGTTTAAATTTTTTATCTTATCTGAAAAAACAATAGAATAGAGATCTTTTGTCTAGTTGGTGTCTTAATGGACGAATGAATGCTGCCAAAGCTCTTAGAATTCTTTTAGAAAAACTTCCTATTACAAATAACCATCTTGAAAGAATGAATAAATATCTAAAAAATAACCAATTAAACTGATTTCAAAGAAATAATAGATTCCTTAAAGCTGATATACTATATATTATTCTTGTGCATAAAGCTATTCCTAATATCTTGATATTGAGAAACCTTGCTATAAATTTTGAACATGAAAAAGCAGACTGATGAAAGAATCTTAATATAATAAACCTATCTGATTATAACATTATTATACAAGAGTTCACAAACTCTACCCGACGATCCCTCGTACCAATATTTTTACAAAATGCCGACCTACGAATATTATATAGTTAGTATATTTTTACACAACAAAACTTCGCTGAGTAGCAACTGGAATCAAGGGCTTC